CTGCTATGCCACTGACAACAAAGGGAGTGGAGCAAAGACAAGGAAAAGGTCTACGTTTCACTGGGGTTATGAGTGAACTCTCCCACTGACATCCCTTTGTGAAGCGCTTTTTGTGGGTGTGTGATGCATATGTGTGTGATGTGTGTAATGCATGTGTGTATGATGTATGTGTGTGTGATGCATATGATGCTTGTGTCTGTGATGTGTGTGATACGTGCGTGCAACGCGATGTATGTATGCGTATGTGTATGTGATGTGTGTAATACATGTGTGTATGATGCATGTGTGTGATACATGTGTGTATGATGCATGTGTGTGATACGTGTGAGTGCGATGTGATGCATATATGTATGATGTTTGTGTATGTGATGTGTGTGATGCGTGTGACACGTGTGTGATGTGTATGATGCATGTGTGTGATGTGTGTAATGCATGTGTGCATGGTGCATGTGAGTATGATGTGTCTGTGATGTGTGTGATATGTGTGTACGATGCAATGCACGTGTGTGTGATGTGTGCATACATGCCTTCATTTATTTGCATGATACTCACTTGATGTGAGGCCATGTTTAGCTTCATCCACCAGGGGGCAGTCCTCATTGCTTTAGTAGACCTTTGTATTTTGCCCAGCTGTTCAACACCTGAGGCTGTCCCACCAACTGGATGAAGGTCATTCATGCGCTATAGAGACTTCACCACCCATCCATAGACGGGACCAACATATTATACATTGCTGGACCAAGGTACTTCTAGTGTCATTGACCCTGTAGGTCTTTATGCCCCTTCAAAATTCCTATGTTGAAATCCCCATCTCAGATGTGAGCCTGGTCTATTTGGAGGGATTTGCACTCTTATAAAACAGACCACAGGGCTGGAGAGATGGCTCAGTGGTTAAGAGCATTGCCTCATCTTCCAAAGGTCCTGAGTTCAATTCCCAGCAACCACATGGTGGCTCACAACCATCTGTAATGAGGTCGGGTGCCCTCTTCTGGCCTGTAGGCATACACACAGACAGAATATTGTATACATAATAAATAAATAAATAAATATTTTTTAAAAAAAGATCACACCAGGCCTTTCCCAAGTGAAGATATAATGAGAAGGTGACCATGTGCTGGCTAGGCAGAGGGCCCTCACCAGAACCCAGTCATACAGGCACCTGATTTTGAACTTCCAGTCCACAGAACTGTTAGAAATTTCTGTTATTTACAGGCTACTCAGTCTGTGATGTTTTTCCTTTTTGTATTTAAGTCAGGGTCTCACATAGCCCACACTGGCTCCAAATTTACTAGGTAGGTGAGGATGACCTTGAACTTCTGATCCAAAGTGCTGAGTTTGCAGGGCCTGGCATACAGGCCTTCTTGGCTTACTAGGCAGACTCTCTCCAACTAAACCACACCCCAGCTCCTCGGTCTGTGGTGCATTTTTACAAGTGCATGAACACCTGACACCTGACTCCTAATGCATCCTGGAAGAAAGGAGAATAGTCCCTGAACTAGCTCCACAGAAGCACTTTGGTAAGCCTTTAATAATTCTGTAGCAAAAGTCTCCTTTTTTGTTTGCTTGGACTATATACACCCTGATTTTATTTTTATTTAAGTTCTTTTTTTTTTTTTTTTTTTTTTTTTTTTTTTTTTTTTTTTTTTTTTTTTTTTTT